CCTTTTATCCCCGATTGCGTCGCAATTTTTGGTCAAAGGTTTTGCTGTCACCTCCTGAATCTCAGCTGAACACTAGGGGGCATCAGACCCTCGAGGCTCTGGCATGAACTGCCTGAGCTATCTTCCTGACTCGAAGTGCCTTTGGTCTTTTATCTCTATTGTTATTATTACCATTATTAATTATGTACCTACTTCAGTATTTTAACCCTATGTTTTCTTGTTTAAAAGTATAATTAAAGTTATAATCATATTATCACACAAAAATCAAATCAAAAACATTCTTCTCATTAACTGACCATGTCAATTCACTGCTGTGGAACTACATTTTAAATTTTTACTTAACTCAGAATATTCCCCAGATCAACTCTCAAGAAAAAACTACAGTTCAAAGACAAACTAAAAGGGAATTATTTCAGAAATCTACTAGTGCATAAACCACATAGTGGTGTTTTATCCATTCATGCTGGTAGAGATACCAGCAGCTGCCTCCATTAGATACACAACTGACCTGGGGCTTAATACCCTCAAAATTAGACATGAAGATCTGAACTTTTTCCGGATTAACACAGTTTGTGTTTTCTAATAAATATTCTGTTTGTGGCACTAACAATACTTCACTGTGTCTGCGATGAACTCTGAGGAAGTGGAAAGCTCCTCCTGAGAACCACTTCCATCACGTTAGGTGGAAGAGAAATTCAGCCTCCTCTCCTTTAGAATCAGCCTCTGAGCTTCACTGGAGGACACCTCGTTCCTCCACAGCCTGAAAAAGACAGATTTATTTTATATTCTATTTTTAAAGTCTCTGTATAACTGACTGGAAGTAAATAACAGGTATCATTTTAAGTTGTGGTTAAACTATTGAATGTGGCTTCATCAATCAAAAATATAGATGATAATAAAAATGTGTAGGCGCCTGTTTGAGAGACCCACAGTTTCCAGAGTTCATGTCTAACACATCTGATGAGAGGACGTTCACCTGATGAGCTGCAGAGAGGGACACGACTGTAAGGCCTCAACCAGAGACTCCACTCCAACAACACTCACACTGTTGGACTCCAGACTGAGACACAAACATTTACATCCATGTTTAGTGTGAGGCCCAAGGACCTCAACTAAAT